ACTTGTTGAGTGTCAGACCTCGAGTGAGAGACAAGACCGAGTCCAAACGCGAGTCCGAGACGAGACACGGCGATCTACCCACACGACCTTGGCGATCGACTGGTAGATCGGGATCGACGTATTGATGCACCCCTGATTTAAAGGAACGAGGCAATTAGCTGCCACCACCCGGACGAATATTAGATCACTCTGCCAGTCATTATATACTCCACTGTACTACAGCACGGACACTCCACAATGACATAATATTTGCAGGTAATAATTAATACATTTTTATTTTAAAAAAGTGATACTGGATCATTTCTCACGGCACACCGGACGCGGCACACTGGCACAGTGGTTGAGAATCACTGGTCTACACTCCTCCTAGATATTTCTACTAATAGATATTCTGCTGCCGATCTAACACGCACATGTCGATGCTCAACTGGTCAAACCAATACACTTTTAAAATGTCGTTACTCCACTTCTGCTTCTGGGAGCTCAAATCGACGACATTTAAACTGTACCAGCGCTTGGGGCTCGTGCTCAGTAGCGCCAGGGAGCTCAAATCGACGGGACACCAGACACAAAACAGAACGGTTTAGGAGCCTTTAGAGACAAATAAAAAGTGGGCGGGGCACATTAAGGCAGATATAAAATACTCTCATACTGATTTGGTCCCATTTTTATATTTTTTTGTTGTTGTTTTAGCTTATTTTACTCAAGAAATAACGTCTCCAAGTCCAGTATGTTCAAAGTGGAAAACTGTAAAATATAAAAGTGTGGACGATTCATTAAGTTATTTTACCTTTAGTTGCTTTTTATTTCACTCTTAGTTCTTGACATCGCAGTTTTTCATTCACTCCACAATCTGACAAAAGTGAGGCCGCCGACGTGACCAGCACCAACACCCACGCGCCGCATTCACGTAAAGACGAGGAGGGCGAAGTGTCATGCCCGAGGACACAGCGGCGGTGCTGTGTGAGCTCAAACGCGCAAAAAAAAAAAAAAAAAAAAAGAAACGTAACTGCGTATGTTCTGATGTTTCTGAACAGATTTTTTTACGGCGCTCGTTCAAAACGTTCCCGGAAACGTCTCGTCTTCTGTCCTTATTTTTTAGGCGGAGTTTTCCTCTCGGCTTTCGAACAAACGTGTATTAAAGTTGGCGTCACACACACACACACACACACACACACACACTTGTCACACACACACACACACAGAGAGAGAGTGTGTGTCAGTGTGGTCTGTTTAAGCCGTGTGCTTCCTGGGCTCACAGACAGACTAAGGGGATTTAGATTGTACAAGACTGACAGATTTGGACCAGCTCCCTCCCTGCACTCCTCTCCCTCCTCTCCTCTTTCGCTCCTCTCCTCTTTCTCGCCTCTCTTCTTTCTTTCTCTCCGTCTCTTACTCTCTCTGTCACTCCTTTTTCGCTTCCTGCTCCTCTTCTGCTCTCTATCCTTCTCTTTCTCTGTTTCTTTATCTCCTCTCTTCTTTCTTTTCTCTCTCTCTCTCTCTTTCCTTCTCTCTTTCCTTTTTCTCTTCCTGCTTCTCCTCTACTCTATCCTTCTGTTTCCCTCTTTCTTTCTTTCGTTCTTTCTTTCTGTGTTTCTCTCCTCTCTTCTTTCTGTCTCTCTTTTTTCTCATCCTACTCCTCCTGTACTCTCTATCCTTCTCTTTCCCTCTTTCTTTCCCTCTCTCTCTCTCTCTCTCTTTCTCCATTTTTTCTTTCTTTCTTTCTTTCTTTCTCTCTCCTTCTCTTTCTTTGTCTCTCTCTTTTGTTCTTACTTTCTCTTTCTTTTATTCTTCGTCCCTCTACCTCTCCTCTTCCCCCGTTCCTTTCTCTCTCTCTCTCTCTCTCTCTCTCTCTTTCTCTCTCTCTCTCTCTCTCTCTCTCTCTCTCTCTCTCTCTCTCTTTCTCTCTACTGTAAAGACTTGAGGCTGAAGATGTGGTGACAAAGTAAAGAAAACATGTTCTCCACCTTTCTTTTCTCCCTCTTTCCCTGACTCCCTGCTCTCTCTCTTTCCCTCTTCCTCTCTCTCTTTTCTCTCCTTCTTCTCTCTCCATCCCTCATACATTCTTCTTTGTTTCTTTCTCTCCTCTCCCTTCTTTCTTGCCTCTTCTTTCTCAGTCACTCTCTGGCTCATTACCTCCCTCTCTCCCTCCTTCTCTTTTCTCCAGCCGTCCATTTTTCTCTCTTCTCCTTCTCTATGTCTTCCTTCATTCCTCCCTCCCTCCGTCCATCTCTCCTCTCTCTCTGTTTCTCTCTCTTTCCTCTCTCTCCTGTAAAGACTTGAGACTAAAGTTGGGGGAGCGGAGAAGAGAAAACATGTTCACCACTCCTCTTTCTCTCCCTCTCTCCTTGACTCCCTGCTCTCTTTCTCTCTTCCCTCTCTCTCTCTTCATCCTTTCTCTCCTCTCCTCTCCCCTTCCCCTTCCCTCCTTTTTTCTCTCTGTATCTCTCTCTTTCATTGCCTCGTTGCTGCTCTCTACCTCACTACCTCCCTCTCTTCTTTCCTCTCTTTCCTCTCTCACTCCTTCTCCTTCACTCTTCCTCTCCTTCCTTTCCTCTCTCCTTCTCTCTCTCTCCTGTAAAGACTTGAGACTAAAGTTGGGGGAGCGGAGAAGAGAAAACATGTTCACCACTCCTCTTTCTCTCCCTCTCTCCCCGACTCCCTGCTCTCACTCTTCCCCTCTCTCTCTCTTCTCTCTTTCTTTCTCTCCTCTCCATCCTCCTTTCCTTCCTTTCTCCCTCTATATCCCTCTCTTTCATTGCTTCATTGCCACTCTCTCGCTCACTTCCTCCTTCCCTTCTTTCCTCTTTCATTCCTTCTCCTTTGGAGAGCGGAGAAAAGAAAACATGTTCACCACTCTTCTTTCTCTCCCTCTCTCCCTGCTCTCTCTTCTCTCTTTCCCTCTCTCTCTCTTCTCTCTTTCTTTCTCTCCTCTCCTCCCTCTTTCCTTCCTTTCTCTCTCTATCTCAATCTCCCTCATTGCTTCACTGCCACTCTCTACTTCACTTCCTCCCTCCTCTCTTTCCTCTCTCACTCTCCTTCTCTCTCTCCTCTCTCTCTCTCTCCCGTAAAGACTTGAGAGTGAAGTGGAGGAGGAGAAAGTAAAAACCCCGACACACACACACACACACACACACACTCAGATGTTTTAAGTACAGTATGCAGTGACAGTGATGGGCCAGTCTGTCAGTCAGCAGCGCTGGAAAAACAGATTTTTGCCAAGAGTCTGTTTTTGCCAAGTTTAAGGCTTTGGACTCGTTTATGGAGTAAATAACACTCAATAAGCCGCGCTGTGAAATACTGAGTTAATCCAGAAGGAAGGCTGTCACGGAGAGTTAGAGACGCAGTAACGCAGGTTTGTCAAACACATGGAACATTTCCTGACCCTGTGACCGATACTGAAACTGTCTGTGTCTTATGTGAAGAATTATCAGACATTTAAAGACACAGTACCTGATTTTTATTGTTAAAAAAGTGAAAAAATTAACTACCATATTTTTCAGACTTCAGAAGGTGAAATCTCGGTTTTCATACATAAGGAGCTTTAAGCGAAACAAATGGACGAGACTTGAGACTGATCCTTAGTCCAGGCGTCCATGATCCGTCGGCAGATCGAGGTGTTGTCTCCCTGTTCTGGTGAATGTGGATTATGAATGTGAATGTGGGTGGATCATTTAAATTTGTTTTTTTATTCCCTACTATGACAATGTTCACACTCACATACACTGAGTAATAATGTGTTTAATGCAACTTTGCTCACATTTGTGCCAAGTGTTTCCACACCGTCTTGTCAAACCCTGATCCCATCAGATCTCAGAAGTTAAACAAGGCCGGTCCTGGTTAGAACTTGGATGTGAGACATCTGGGAATTCCAGGTGCCACAGGGCGGCGCCAGTGGTAGAAAACTGTTGCCTAGTATGTAAGCTGTGTGTGTGAGTGTTAGTGGTGAGTCTGAGGGGCGATGGCGCAGATTGGCAGCCTTCCGTCAGTCTGCCCCAGGGCAGCTGTGGCTACAGCAGTAGTTTACCACCACTAAGTGTTGAGTGAATGAATAATGAACAGTAAAGTGCTTTGGGTATGTTGAAAGGCACTATATAAATTAAATGATGAATCAATTAATTAATTATTTGTTTATGTTTTACAGAAACAAAATGTAAAACCACATGGCTAATTGCATAAACTATAAGCGCTGATAAAACTGCTCGCTCCTTGTGCCTCTGATTTGGTCAGTTTCTGTTGAACTAAAGGACACGACTCAGTGGAATATGAGTTTTCTCCTCGAGGTTCCTGACTACAGTAGCTTTAATGCTCTGACAAGTCCATGTGGTGGTGCGTCTTCATATCTTACCAAAGTTGTACTAAAACATTTTGACTGATTTTTGAGCACCATGTTCCACGTAAAACCAGTTCAAGGTCAATAAGCACAACCAGAATTAATACATGAGGCTCACCGGATTATAAGGCGCACTGTTGATTTTTGAGAAAATTAAAGGATTTTAAGTGCATCTTATAGTCTGAAAAATACGATAGTTCCTTTTTAAATGGTTTGCAGTCGTCCAAAGTTATTCCTCTTTTACCTCATTAATGACAGACGTGAGTTTATAAGCACAACTTTCTCACAAATTCCAAAAACCAGAGTGGAGTTTTGCCATGATGATAAAGCTTACAACGACTAGCATGCCAACAGTGAACTTCCTGTTTCAGAGTTACACAGTGCACCTTTAGTAATTTTGTCTTTAAACAGATACAAAACATCCTATTCTTATTACATTCATTTGACTTGACAAACATTTACAATATTACTTTCTTCATTCAACGTCGTGTATGTAATTCAACAAGTTTACTGGTTTTCATTTGTGATTATCGTTGCAGAATTAGATAATGAGTGTATGTTTTCTTATTTTGGTGGAATTAAAACTGAACAATAACAAATTATGCAAAATGGACTGGGTAAAAATGTTAATGTAATGTTTTTTTGTTTTGTTTTTTTCCGTTCGCAGACTCAGAACAGGATGAAGCTGATGGCGGACAACTACGACGAGGATCATCTGAAGGTGGCAGCTCCAAACCCAGAGCCCCCAAACCACAAGCCCTCCCCAGACCAGGTCAGAACTCACGGACCAGGGACCAGGGACCAGGGACCAGGGACCAGACTCTCTGAAACTCAACTAAACACAATAAAGCAATAGTGATGGGACGTACGGCTCTTTAATGTAAACGAATCCATGTAGACAGTAGATCACAGGTTTTACTCCTACACAACTTCACATTAGTGCCTTTTTTTCCACAATTATGGCTTTAATTTATATTTCTGGTGAAGCTTAACATTCTTACTGTGGTGTGGCTCATTTCTCCACAGATCTTTAGTCTAATTTATCAAGAATGTGTATGAACAGAAATGAAAAATCCTACATATGTGCCTTTCTACGTTAAGTTTCTGATATATAGAAAGACACAACTAAATGTGAAAATGAGCAGCAGTATTTTATTTTATTTTTTATTAAAGACAACAGACTATAACTTTTTTTCTTTTATGTATTTTTTTTTTGGGCAAGTAGAGATTTACATTCTTATATAATGGAACATATGTAACATCAGTGAAATCATAATAGAAATGAAAATAACCACAACAAAAAATTTGCCCAAAAAGGAGTGGAAAGAAGAAAATGTATTTAATCCCACTTCCACTCTTCTAATCTAACACAATGAGCTGTATTTTGCGTTTTTCTGACTTTTAACAAAATACAGTAATCAACATATGAACAAAACACAAACCCCGACACAAATTTTGTTAAATAAAACAAAAGTAATGTGGTAGTGCAGCATATATATATTGATAGTTTGGCAAATGTATAATTTAAATTCCTTTTCTCTCTCTCCTCCCCCTTTTTCCCCCCCATTTTTAGTCACTATACTTAACTAATATGATTTTCACCACCATCATCATTTCCTTTCATCATCTTTTACTATTTTTTACAGTCTTAAAGCATGATTTTAAAGGCATTTCCTTTTTTTTTCTCCCCCCTTTTGAATTATTATTATAATTATTATAACTATATATAATTATTACAGCAATAATAATATTTTTTTTAAATTATTGTCTCTACTGTTAATGATAATAATTACAACAATAACTTAATTTATTATTATTTATTCATGTATTTATTTATTGTCATTATCTTCACTTTATTTTTTTATTTTTTATTTTTTATTTTTTTTATTTTTTTTACTATAAATAATTAATTGTAGCAGTATTTAAAGCTGCACTTTGTAACTTCTTAGTCACCTGCTTGTTTCTATGGAGATGTCATTGCTCTGCCTGGAATGTTCCACAGTATGACTTTAAACAGCTCTACTTTACATTTATACAATTACAGGTGGTTTTATAGCTCAAAAATACCTAAAAAAAAAAAATAAAATTCTGACTGTGAGTGGGGGTCGCCTCTCCACAGATCTGACCTGTAACTTGGTCTGGTTTGGTCTCCATGAAGACAGAAAGGTTTAATGCCACACTGTGAAACATTCCAGACAAAGTAATAGCTCCATTATCTCCATTTATACAAGCGTTTGACGGACTCTCCAGCTGAAAAGTCACACAGTGCAGCTTTAAATCATGTTTTGCGCCACATGAAAGACTAAAACATCAAGACCAAATAGTGGGAAAAGTTTTATAGAAATGACAAACTGCTGACATTAAGGAGTCATAAATGTCCCATCACTATAAAATCAATGATATGATATTTTTGTAATATTAAACCACAAACTTTCCAGGCTTCTAAACCTCTTAAAGCTGCTTCTGTTCTCACTAACTGTGTCCTCTCCCGCCCTAACGCTGCGCTGGGCTGAACTAACCGATAGGACGATGAGGAGGGCATTTGGGCGTAGCCAATCAAATGCCTTTATTTCTCCCTCGAACCACACTTTTGTACAGACGGGTGAGCAGCACATCGTGTACCTGTGGATTGTCCAGTCATTGTGAACGTGATCAGACATCCTAAGAAACTCCATTTTCCCATCACGCACCTGTGGCGGCTTCAGTCCTGATCAGGCTCTCATCTGTCAGTCACTTTCATCTAAATCAAGAGCGTTTGTTTTACATCGTGTTCCCTTCCCATTTACACGTCTGAATTTATCTGTTTTTGTGATTTGTTGTGACTGGTCTGGTTGTGTCGCTCTTGAAATACATGGTTACACAATGTCTGGAATATTAAAGACTGGAAATATTCTAGAGGAATTTGAGAGAATTAATGGGAATAAACAAACTATTACTGATTAAAGGTATCTCTTAAATAGGAGGTAGGGATGGGCATGATTAGTCAACTAAGTGATAATTGATCATTCCTATTCCACTGAATCGTGTCCTTGAAGGGTGAAGTTTAGTTCTGCATCGACTCATCTCACACTGCCACCGTCGCCTTGTCGCTCGTCTTTTTTGATTTATGGATCTGCGTCGAGGTCTGTGCACCGTGAAGTAATTCACCGCCAAAACGCTAGGGGGTTAGGATATATGTCCGTTCATATATACGGCCTATGTGCGTGACCTGCAGACGTATAATCTCTGAAAAGTTCTATCTCCGACATGATAAAAGCACAGAACAGACTCATTAGTACAGTATCCCTCTGTCACAGAAAGAACACATACTCCTTTTAAAGTCCGACAGAAGCTGAACCACATCAGGGCACAATAGCGACCTGTTTTTTTTTATACAAGTTAGGCCATGTGGTTTTAAGTTTCGTTTCTGTAAAACATAAACACATATGTGCTAAGCTGCATTAAACACATTATTTCTCAGTATATACTGAAAGAAAGGGAAGCTGAATACAGGAAATGTCTGTAGTGCGGCAGTAGGGAGGACCAATCACAGCCCTTATCGTCTGCGTCCCTTCCCCTGCTGTCTGCATCATTTGGACGTGTAGTTAGAAAATTTCAGAGGTGCACATCAGTCGACGCGTCGTGATGCAGACGTTTTGACGCTGGACCGTAAATTGTCCTTTAGTCTGACAGAAGTTGAACTGCATAAGTGCACAAGGAAAAAGCTGTTTTTTTCAGCGCTTATAGTTTATGCAAATGAGCCATGTGGTTTTAAGCTTTGTTTCTGTAAAACGTAAACAAATGTGCACAAAGCTGCATTAAACACATTATTACTTAATGTATATTTGAGTCGTCCTCGTAGGAAATAAAAATACAAACTTAAATCATCCACCTACATTCACATTCATAACACACATTCACCAAGACAGGGAGGCAACGCCGGGCGAATTACACCAAGATCTGCCGATGGATCGTGGACGTCTGGACTGAGGATCAAGTGTCTCAAGTGTCGTCCGTTTGTTTCTCTTAATGCTCCTTATGTATGAAAATCGACGAGAGAATTTAACATTATTGATATTGCGCCTTATAGTCCGAAAAATATGGTAACTTTTTTTGGCTGGGGGTCTTTCACCTGCTTGTTTCTATGGAGATGTCATTTGCTCTGTCTGGAATGTTCCACAATATGACATTAAACAGCACTACCTTACATTTATTCAATTACAAGCGGTTTTATAGCTCAAAAATACCTAGAAAAACAGAAACAAAACTCTGCCTCTCCACAGATCTGACCTGTAACTTGGTCTGGTTTGGTCTCCGTGAAGATAGAAAAGTTTAATGCCACTCTGTGGAACATTCCAGACAAAACAATAACATCGTGAAGAAAAGCATTTGAAGAAAAAATTACACAATGCACCTTTTACGACGAGAGGAAACCATTATAACATGTCAAAGACCCTCTTAAAAACTCTCTCTCCTTTACACATGTTTTCGTAAAGTTTCTCTAAATATAACTCTTAATTACGCCCTCCCCCTCGGCGCGGCTCCTCCGGTCACAGCTCACTTCACTCGTCATAGAACATTTCATAGAACATTTCGTAGGAACAGTTGGTACTTGACTCCGGCTCTCGCTCTGCGCCGCAGCACCCACAGGAGAGCCATACACGCCCTCTTTACCGCCCCGCTTTTTACGATATTTGTGTTTTTATCGTCCGCTGGGTGCAACTCGGAGCGGTGACAAAGTTAGAGAAATAAGGAGTTTAATAGCCAGAAGTCGTTAAACGTTGAGTGCGTCCATAAAATTCATAAAACAGACAGAATGAAGATACGATTAAACTGGCTGTATTAAAATTATATGATTTTTGTATTGGCCTATTAAACCTGTTTGTTTGTTTCCGCCTTATCTATAAACACGTACCACTTAAACTGACAAATAAAGTATCATAATCGTTTCATATAGTTTGTACTTCACATACAGTCAAACTAATTAAAATGTTAAAGGTGCATTGTGTAACTTTTTGGATTTAGGGTCTGACAACTGCTTTTCTCCGTTTAGATGTTATCGCTTTGTCTGGAATGTTTCACAGTGCGGCGTTAAACCTTTCTATCGTCACGGAGACCAAACCAGACCAAGTTACAGGTCAGATCTGTGGAGAGGCAGAGTTTTGTTTCTGTTTTTCTAGTTGTTTTTTTTTTGAGCTATAAAACCACCTGTAATTGAATAAATGTAAAGTAGAGCTGGTTAATCACACTGTGGAACATTCCGGACAGAGTAATGCGTGACGTATCCATAGAAACAAGAAGGTGACAGACCCCCAACCAAAAAGTATTAAGGACTAAGAAATAGGGCCCAATCGATACGGATGTTTTTGCAACCGATATTATACCGATAAAATGGAAGTTGGAGCTGCAGATATATTTAGTAATGTAAAAATTCACTGTAAATCTTGGGCCTGGCTCTTTTGGATTTTAAATTGGGTTTGTTTAGGTGACATTTATTGTTATTCTGCCTCTTTACAGTCATATTTAAACACAGTAGCTCGACCTAATGGTATTTTTGCAAAGCATTCTAGTCAGTAAACAAAGTAAACTACCACTAAAGGCTAACAGCGATGGTAAATGCGTGAACACCACGGTAATGAATGTGTAAATGCCGATCATTCACACCTCTATTCACAGCTCATTTACGTATGAATGCAGGTCCAGCAGCTAAACAATGAGAAATAACAAAAAATATCTTAAAAAAAGGACACATTTGTAACACTCACCGCTCACACAGGCTCCTCTCAGATCACA